CAATGGGGTTTTTTGGCCAGGTGGGGTTTTTTTTTTTTTTTTTTTTTTTCTAGTATGATATTATTGGTACATAAAACTGACAGATTGGCCCAATAGTCATTAATGATTCTGGGCTAGACTGATAACAGCAGCTGACAATCAATCAATCAATCAATTAGAGAGAGGAGAACAGAGAACAACATGGACAGTGGCAAAAATGAAAAGGTGGCGCAGAAAGAAATGCATCTATAAAGTGGCAAGTTCTTCAGGCAGACTGTGTAAAGGGTTAATAGGTAAGCTGAAAATCTCCACATAATGAATCTCACAGTAAGACAAGCACAGCAGGGTGAACATGTGGCTCTGTGTGTTTTATAGGAGGTGGACTTGATCAGGAGCATTCAGGCTCTTCTGAAGAAAACCGCAGCTCAGGTTGTCGCTCAGATCAAGTAAGTGTAAAACTGGTAACTGGCTCCTTTATGAGCACGGATCCAGTTGGTTTGAAGCGTCTCACTTTAGAAAACAGCATTCCTACGAGTTGATGGTTTCTGTGGGTCAGGAGGAACCGAAGCGCCCAGCAAACATTAGAGATGGACTGGTCTGATAAGTGTCAGGCCTACAGCTTTGACGACACCTGTGGGAGAAACAATAACATGAGTCCAGACACACAGCAGCATCCCAGTTCTGCCACCATGCAGGAGCAGTGAGTCTCACTCTGTAGAAACACCAGAGCTGTGTTCAACTTTTACACACAAGGTTCCCTCTTGTTTACCGCAGCGTTTCTACCCCCTCATCATGGACAAAGTTTACTCAAGACAACCTGTCCATGGCCCTGCAGGAGGATCATGCCACCAAGAGTCTCAGGTCAGAGTCACAATGGTTCGCCTTGCTGCCAGAGGGATTTTCTTCGACTGCTGAGAGCTCAGTGGCTGATGTTTTTGTTTGTCAGAATGCTTGTGGAGCAAATGCTGCAGGACACCACTGAGGATCTGAGAGTCCAATGCGCCAGTGTGGACCGAGCCTTCAGCCTGCGCTGTGAGGACCTTATTGAGGCCAAGACCCAGCTCGAGATGAAGCTGGCTCAGGTGGATGAGCAGACAGACAGAAGAAACAGACTGACAGGTGAAATGTGATTGACTGTTTTATTGTTCCCGTAGACTCTGGAGCAAATTGGTGCCCAGGAGAAGAACATTGAGGTCCTACAGCGGGCCGTCCACAACAAGGAGGCTCCACTGAGGGTGGCTCAGTCCAGACTCTACCTTCGCTCTCTCAGACCAAACATGGAGCTCTGCAGGGACCAACCCCAGCTCAGGTAGATGCACACAAACAGAAACGTCAGCATCATGTCACGTGTCCATGTCCTCATGTATGAACTGTGTCTGCAGTCTGGAGGGAGAAGTGAGGCAGATTGATGCCTCCTTGGAGTCTCTGAAGCAGAAGCTGAGTGAAGCCAGGAGCTCCCTGTCCCGTCTGGAGGAGTCAAGGATGGCTCTAGAGAAGGACATAAGCTGTAAAACCAATTCACTGTTTATTGAGAGGGAAAAGTGCATGATTCACCGTAAACGATACCCAACCGTCTCAGTGCTCTCAGGATACTGAACTTGACTACATAATTTGGGATGGTTCTGCTTGACAGTTTGAACAGTATCATGTGAAAAGTTAAAATCTTGGAACATTGTTTTATAACCCAAGTCTTATATCTCCACAACTTTATTCCTGACCTGTTTGTTGTTTTCCTAGAGGCTCCCACATATACTGTGTCGCCGTGACTCCATGAACAACGTCTGTAGAGAGTTGAAATTTCATAATCGAGGGTATCGATTTACGAAATTTATCTCAACAAATTCCTTCATTTCTCACAATTTCAGACATGGCATCAACAAACACGGAGGATGTGTGACACAGAGTATGGGTACTAAGTTTTAAAAATGTACCTTTGTCCGCTTTGAGTATGCAGGGGCTTCAACAGAGTGAAGTGTGCCTGAGTATCTGAGAGCCTTTAGTCTTCTTGATGCTGTTTGCTCATTATTGCTATATAACAAATGGCTAAAGTCTTCAAATAATTTTTTTTCTTCCACTTCACTACTTTGAACTGTTCTATGAAATATAAAATCACATTCCAATAAAAGTTTGTTTGTTTGTAACTTGACACATTGTGAAAAGGTTGATTTGGAGTGAGTACCTTTGGAAGGTGCTTTACTGAACCAGTCACTTTTTCATAGGTTAGAAAGATAGCTGTAAGACAGTAGTTTGAAAGCTTCCAGTTAGAAAGCTACGTCTGTTAGTTACCTGAAAACTTTTCCTAAGCTGTAATTGACAAGAAAGCACGTAAACATAATCTGTGCAGCAGCAGAACTTGGAGCTTGGAAATATCCTCCAGGATTTAGTTTTTTACTATGGCATCTTCAGCCAAAATCTCTCAGGCTGCTGCTTCCTGCTGCTGTCTCCTCATCTCTCTGAGTAGCTTCTCACCTTCAAAGGAAAATTTTTACATAAAATGTCAAAAGAGCTTGTAGTTTGCAACCTACTGATGAATATAATCTTCCTTACAGTACTGGTGTTAATCTAAGTGGATCCATCCATAGCATCCAAATGCTATATAAATGCACAGCATTTCAGATTCTAGGGAATATTGGGAATTTGAAACCTATCTCGATTCAAAATAGAAAAACATACAAAAAAAAAAAAAAATATATATATATATATATATATATATATATATATATATATATATATAAAAACTGACAACTTAGTCAATCTTTAAGGAAGTTTAAACTTTTGTGTTGTGCAGTTTGACAAACTTCAAAAAAAAAAAGAGTAAATCCCACGTTTAAATCCAGCTGTGCTTGAAGAAGTCTTCTGAAGACTGCGCCATAAATATTTCTCTCCACTAGAGGGAGCTATCTAGCTTCAATATGCTTTCTGCTTTTCCTGGACGGCTTCAACTTGTCTTTGTCTTTAGAAGAAGCATTAAAGTATACAACACAAACACAACTATAAGATGTGGAAAAAGACGGGAGTTTACATCTGATCACAGTGACGTGTGTGTTGTACAGTGAGCTGACTGTAATCACTACATTAAATACAACTAATTTGCTCATTTGCAGTTTGGGCTACAAAATGTATTTGCTAGGTTTAATGTGCTAGGTTTCACCTGTAGATTAAGGTCTACAGGTGAAACCTAGCACATTAAAAGCACATTAACTGATGGAGGGTCTTCTTTGTCCAAGAACTCTCTGAGAAATAATTTGTCTCTATTCTTAGAAAGGTTCTGCAGTAACTCAGGAGGTGCCACGACTGAGGATGTTATGAAACTCAGCCTCAGCCACACAGGCACAGTGTAGTTATCAGTGCAGGTTGCTACTGAGCACATCTTATGCCACCCCTAAACATTAGTAAGATGCATTGCCATGGATATACATGCAATAGTTTGTAAGTGATTAAAAGGTTAAGAAACTCAAGGGTGAAATTTCACAGTTTATTGAGACTCAGGGGCTTTGTAAAAGTCTGAACAAGTAAATAAAGGGACAAAAGCCAAATTTGCAATCTTTTATAATTTAGGCTCATATGTTGCACACGTGGCCGGCCCATTAGTGGTCGGTGTAAAACTTTATGCAGATAAGGTTTCACAGGGGTGCTCTAGTTATTCTACTCATAATAACAAGAAAAAGCAAGCCAGTCTATTTTGCTTGCAGCTTTTTAACACATAGATTTCACGGTTGAGTTTCCTTCTTGCTGATTTTCTTTTAAAGAGCAGTCTGCAAGGGAAAGCAGAAACGTGCAACTGAGATGAGAGGGACAGAAGTGCTCAAGTGAATAAAAATGGGAGGGATTGATGAAGTTGCAAAATGTGAGGGAGTGACAGAAAAAGAAAGAGGGAGGGAAAAGAGAAGAACAGAAAGACAAGCAGGACCAAAGTCCCAGTTTCCTCTCCCTTCTTTCTCCCAGTGACTCCAAGGTGAGATCAGCAGATTGGTGAGTTCCACCTCAGCACTTTGCTGTCTGCTTTCTTTTCTTCAACTTTTCTCAAAACGGTAGGAAGAATCATGCAGAGCAATACATAAGTAATATTTAAAATTATGCTTTTAATCAGCTTAATTTATCACTTCTGATTGACCAGAGCATTTCTTTACATCTCGAATGTTTTATCACTTCTCACTGACCAAAGCATTTCTTTACAGTTCGAATGTTTTTTGTTTTTTTTTGTTGTTTTTTTTATGTGTGAGAACATTTTTTTTATGACAGTGTTTATTTGCTTTTGTCTCTGTTGGCTAAATGCGAGCAGCTAAACTTGAGGGTTTGTGGGAAGCCAGAGTTTCCGCTGGCTGGATGAAGAGACTACTTTTAGCTTCGGTTATTACACCCTGCGCCCTGACTGGTCCAGACCTCTAAGGCATCTTATTGTCCTTTATTTGACCGATTATTTAAAGAAAAAAAAAACACAAACCATAAATCTCTCAACTTATTGTAGAGTGAACCATTAAGGCTTTAAGGGGAAAAGTTTCTAATTATATGTTTGCCAGGGTGTGGAATGTCAGCTTCATGTCTGTGCGTGATTTTCAGGATTTTTGTGGTGAAATTTATTTGGGGTCTCAACCTTTTTTTTTTTTCTTTTTTTTTCCCTGTCACATTTTCATCATCCCTCCTTCTCTCCCCCATCTGCGTCTCTGTCCCCGCAGCAAGCATGCTGTCCCTCAGCTCCCTGTCCATCCTCCTCGTCCTGCTTTTCCTCCACCCCTCACAGCTGTCTGCGCAGGAAGTGCAGATACGTCTCGCGGGCGTGGGTCGACGGAACGCAAACGAGGGACGTGTGGAGGTGCTCTACAACGGATCCTGGGGCACGGTGTGCGACGACGAGGTGGATATTAAACTTGCCAACGTGCTGTGCCGGCAGCTGGGCTTCCAGCGCAGCTTCACCTGGGCTCACAGTGCCAAGTTCGGCCAAGGACAAGGTAAGGGCAAACAGAAGCAAGTAAGCTCCTCACCCAGCACTGCCTTTAAAAAGCGTCCACATGCAAACTTTCCAGATTTGTCACGTGATAACCACAGGTTTTAATGAGTTTTATTACTTTATGCATGACAAGGTTGGGCAGATTTGTCAGGTAGAAGAGAAATGATGCATAGTTTTAAACATTTCTGTGCAGCTTTTGCTTAACTAGACGTCCGCTCTTCTCTGAGCACAAAAGTCTTGCCGTGACTGCTTGCCAACTTGCCAGTTGGATTTGGAGCTGGACTTTAACTTGGCTGTTCTAAAACATTAATGAGCTTTGATCTAAACCACTCCTTTGTATCCACTGTGGCTGCATGTTTATAGTCGCTGCTGGATCGTGAGCCACTGGTCTATTCCAGGGGCTTTTGCAGCAGTCCTCTTCCACCATATTTCTGCCTTTCACTTTTCCATTGTAAATTTCCACCAGTCTCCTTTTACCTGCTGAAGATTGCTATAGCCCCCAACATTATGATGTTACCCCTGCCGTGTTTTACAGGGGGGTGTTGGGTTCAGGGTGAAGAGCTGTTATAATTTCTCCCACACACAGCTTCTTGCTGCTTTGGCCAAGACATTTAATTTTGGTTTCAGCCAACCAGAGCCCTTCCTTCTGCATATTTGCCATGTCCTCCTCACGGTTCGTGGTGAACTCTTACCAGGATTTCTTTTGCCAATGGCTTTATTCTTATTCCCATTCGCTTATTAAGATCTGATTGGTGGAATGGAGTGGATCTTTTTGGCTGCTTCTCTGATTAATGCTCTCCTTATCTAGGGTGGCCATGTCTTGGTAGGTTTGCACTTTGTCCAATAGAATGTCTGCTTTCAGGTTATTTGTTGAACAGAACTCCCTGAGATTTTCAAAGCTGAAGGAATTGTTTCATAGCCTAACCCTGCTCTAAAACTGTCATGATAACACCGGTGTCCTCATGGACCCAATGAGACGTTTTGGCGGTGATGGTTAAGAGGATAAGCTTCTGCCCAACTTCCCAACAGAAAATCTTCTGTGTCCCTTGGTCTTCACTATGCCGATTGTTCTCGTTCTAACCATTGAGGGCTTCAAAGAACAAGACATTTGAATTAGGATTGAGAACTTACATTCAAGTCAATGGGTCCATGAGTACACTTTTGTCTCTTCTTCATGTCATGTTTTGAAGGTGACCGTTAAATAACACAGAGTATATTATAGTCGATATGAACCCCTTAACTGTTCAGGCTCCAACACACTTTGCCCAAAGCCAAACAGTCGATGCGCAGTCATGTGGTTTGGGACCACTCACATTAGCACACACCTTTCATGACACCACTTCCACTTCAGTATTTGTCCTGTTACTACTCGACGGGGTTCTCACTCCCTCCCCGCATCTTCTCTTTTGCTTTTACAAAACGGCCATGGAGCTAGCGCCACACTTTTCTGCAGACAGCCTCCTCCGTGAACAACAGCGACAGTTAAGGGGTTAAAAACGTTCTGAAAAACATGAGTTGTCTTTCATGCATATTACACCTATATAAATCACATACCGTCCTAATAAAACAGTGTTATAAACTGTGAAGAGGTATGAATGTTTTAACATTGCACTGTATTTGTTTGTTTTTTTAATGAATGATGTTTTATCTCATAGGTCGTATCTGGTTAGACACTGTGCGCTGTCAGGGCTCAGAGACCTCTGTTGCTCAGTGTCAGTTCAGAGGTTGGGGAATCAATGACTGCGAGCACTCTGAAGACTTGGGTGTCATTTGCAGCCCAGAAAGAAGACCTGGATTCCCCCCTGCCATTTTAGAAGAGACAGCCTCATCTTCAGGTCAAAGGCCAAGCCAGCAGAGGCAAAGAAACTCGCCACCACCGCCGGTGCAACCTGCAACCCCGGCAAACTCTTACTCAGCAAGAGGCCACGAGATTGCCCTTCATCGCAGCACGTCCTCTGCCCGTCGCAACAGCGTCTCGCCCCGGGAAAACGGCCACGAGATTCAGATCTCAAGGCGAAATCGAGGCGGCTCGAGAGCAAGCCAGCAGGTCAGCCCACCGCTGCCGCGAGGCCACCAGCTGCCCTCGCGCCTCGCAAACAGCGACGCCTACAGGCAGAGGCAGGAGGCGGCGAGGGCAAATTCACAGGCCGTGAGGCGCGAGCCTGGAGTGCAGGCGAACAGGCAGCCACAACCT